CCAGTTGCACAAAGTAAGTGTTGAGAATCTCCGATTCACCATGCTACTAATGGTTTCCCGGAGATTGCAAGGCAAGGCACTTTTGCCTCTGGACCCATTGAAATTTACCGACGTGGTCCACCCCCAGTAAATTTCAAAAGTCACAAAATGTCTAAACATGAGGGCGGCGTAGTGGTCGGCTCTCGCTTTCCCATCAAACCAATGCACTGCAAGTACAAACTGCCCTCTTTCTCTTGAGTGATGGGCAACAGTTGGATATCTGGGAGAATTGTTCGTCCCATTGGCGTCTGTGAATTCCGCTCTGTAAACGGTGCTTCCTGAGGGGAGATAGATGGCGGGGACAGCGTCAGCCAAGTCCTGGGCGGTGGTGAGCAGAGAGGCCGGGATGGAGCGTCCTGAGGCGGTATGTGCTCAGTTGGATATCTGGGAGAATTGCTTCCGCCAGGCATTGCAACGTGCGCGGTGGGGAGCGGCACTTATCGGGAGACAGCTGCTCTACCGTTTGACTGCCGGAACATACTGTCTCCTTCTTCTGCATCTTCAGGAGTGTCTCTAACCTCCCAATCCTCCCCAGTAATGCGTCGTACTGCTCCTGCTGCTGCCAAAAAGTCTCCATACAGGTGCTGCTTCTACAGGTTGGCACCCTAGCCAGTGGCCGAGAGCAGAGACCCATAGCCTGTGGCAAAATAACATAATTTATTTAAGAAATAAAGTCACACAGTAGTATTCATCAGTTGCAGAACAGACGTCAAAATAAACTTTTCTTTTCATCCTTTTTACTGCCTTTTTTTTTACTGTCCTGGTGGTAGATTTCGAAGATCTTTTCGCCCGTGCGGTTTTTTCCTGAAGAACAGACTGTGAAGAAATATTTATATTTTAATGTATAATTCAAAACGGCAATAATACCTTGTAATATGCGCTATAATCGCGTATTTCAAATGAAACCTGCTGTATTTGCTTACCCTTCGCTCTTTGCAAGCTGGGGCGGCAGAAGCACCTCGTCTCTTCCCGTAAAAGCTCTTGGTCTCCATACTGTACTATGGTCGCTGTAGTGCAGGCTCGCAGTTTTTTTTTTAGAAAAACCCATTCCCCAACGTTAAAAAAGCATCTTGCATCACGTTGCTTGAAAAATAATTTTATTTTGAGAGACCGGATAAGTAATTCAAGTGTTTTTTAACTTCCTGAAAAACAAGTAATAATTTAACAATACAGTATGTGCAAATGTTTTATGATATGTCGCTGCTGTGAATGTCTGTAGAGTGTATCTTATTTGCCTGTCCTGACTGGTGGAGCTCATCCAGCTGTGTCTGGAGACACAGGCCAGGGTATCAGCCAGGGTATGGGCTTGTTCCCCCCTCCCGCTCCTCTCTGTGTACAGTAGAGCCTCCTGTCCTGACTGGAGGAGCTCATACAGCTGTGTTTACCCTTTGAAACTCATCAAAAAAGAAACGCTCACCAGAGCTTGCACAACTACTGTATAACTAAAAAAGACCTCTTCACTGTGCAAAAATACAACCTTTATAAGTTTATGCAGGTAAATAATTTCTATTAAGAATGATTTTTTGATCTATCAATGTTAGATTAAAAAAAAACACATTGCCCGACGTTAAAAAAGCATCTTGCATCACGCTGCTTGAAAAATAATTTTATTTCGAGAGACTGGATAAGTAATTCAAGTGTTTTTTAACTTCCTGAAAAAGAAGTAATAATTTAACAATATATGTAACACGTTTGCATTTGTTTGGGAGCTATATTACAGTTTGTATTTTTCATATATAAGATATAATGATGTGTTCCTGCTTACACATTGCACGACTTTAAAAGCTTTAAAAAAGGTTTCGATTCGTGTCTTTTTTTACATTATCTGACGAGCCTTGTTTTGTCAAAGACCCAGAGATCATCTCACTTTCAGAGGACAGCACAGACTCAGAAGGCCGCAAAGATACTACAGTAGCACAATAGTACAATAGTCTTCTTAAGGTGTGAGGGCAGGAGTGGATCGCAGCGGGAATACACAGCAAATGAAAACAAAAAACAGGGCAGGTGAGACGAGTATCCAAAAAGTGTGATCAGAAAAAGGAAACAATTGTTACGCCCAGCTATTTAACTTGCTAATGCATCAGACACATTCCCTTGCGTATTGTGTTTTAAATAAGATAGGAGTGTCTTTCCCAGGTATTAGCTCATCTGTATTGTGCAAGTTTATCTGTACCATACTGTATATAGGCACAGACGTGTATGCACCACTATATCGCTTTGGTAAGGAGACAGACTATGGCAAAAATCACGAAGACTCTCTGACAAAGTAAAAAACAATTACTTGAAAAACTGTGTATCTCTCTCTCCTGGCGTTTGTAATCATTTTTATTTTTAAATACATTTTAGCAAAGTCATGTACCATAAAAGTATGGTAATTAAAAACCATTAATACTTTCGCTGGAGTTTAAATAAAGTCGATGTTTTCTCTTTTGGCTAGACTTGACTATTTAGCCATGAGATAAACAATAGATTGTCATTTAACAACCTTATGTTTATTAATCTTCCTTGTTATGCACAGTGAGAATGATAATTTAATGAGAAATTGTGTACAAATAAATTGTGCTAGGAAGAAAACAGATAGGTGTTCTGAAAGGTCACATATAAACAGGTTTTCGATGGACAGAATGATAGTGTAACGATTTCGAGTTCGGATAGGACGGACCCAAAAACTTAGACTTGCGGAGTTAAAAGCTGCTTTTATTTTCTTCTCCGTCGCCACCTGCCAGCGAGCTCTCCCGCGCCCTGACCAGAAAGAGACACACGACGAGCCCTGCTAATAAAGCACCTTGAATTGAATTGAGAGAGAGAGGGGGGAGGGTGAGAGAGAGAGAGAGAGGTGGGAGGGCGAGCAAGAGAGAGAAACACCCAGAGATGCAGAACCAGGGAACTATTTACATATTAAAACAATTTCCCAAATTTAATATGTGCTTTTCTATATTTATTGTCAATTAATTGTCCATAATATTGCTATTCTATTTTCTCAAAGAAATGTTTGTTAAAAGAAAAGTCGCGGCGCCGGCTGTATTTGCACACAACCTCTGGTTTACAAGTCGGGCACCTAGACCACAGTACCACCCGCAAGGTCACATGAGGAATGGTGAAACAGCCCTACACAAGCAGTATCAACAGACATTGTACAACGTGTACTATTCTTGTGTTGCGGTACATGAATATAATTATATCGTTATTAATTTCTTTAGATACGTGATTCCATATTATATTCCCTATTAATGAAGTTCTAAAATTATGCTTGTTTACTCCGGTATCGAGCGTATTCGCAGAAAAGCTTAAAACTACCAGTTTTTATACACGTTATTTCACGTTAGTTAAAGACTTCGATGCTTAAAACGTTTAGGGAGAAATGGAATACTGGTGTGTATTTTGTCTTTAAAGTACCGAGACCAGCCATATACTGTATGTTTATGTTCCAAAATTAATATCGTTTATGGCCTTCACACGCGTTACAGTATGCTCCTATTCTTTTTATGCTCAGCTACTAAGATTTCCCTTCAGTGGTAAAATTCCATATAAATATTCAATACTTAAACGGGCACAGTAAAGACATTAAATATACATATACATACTGTACACTGTACAGTTTGCATACAGTAATATGTTTATGTTCCTAAATCAATATCTTTTATGAGCATGTGAAAGGCATGGTGAATTGGAGATTCTAATAAATTACTGTATTTTGCATGATTGGAAACAAATGAGTGATTGCAAAATGCTGTGGTGTTACTTTTACAAAGACAGTAAATGAAAAAAAGAATGTGGACCAGGGCAATACTTTGAGTTCACAGGTTGTCCAAGGTCATTCATTATTAATACTATTAGTAATATCTTCGGTAAAGAGATTGATGGTGACAGCTCAAACATGAGAGGTTGAGCTTTATTAGCTCCACCTTGTGGAAATTCCGGATACTTTTATTTTATTTGTGGTACCACGTGGTATGAAGCGGCACTATGCAAGAATTTACGGTATTAAAACAGTAACTTGTGGTAGACTGCGTCAAGCGCACCTGAAAAAACTAGTGCGTTATTGCCCGCTTGTTTTGAATGGCTACATCTGTACATTAATAGTTTCACAAAAAGAGGTACTTCACCAATTTGTATTTTGTTAGCATATATTCATGTATTAAGCAGAAATCCTTGATAAAATGTAGTTGTTGAGGCATGAAGGTTCAACAGCCAATTGTTTTTTCTACTTTTTAGTGTGGAATTACTACTTGTTCCTTTGTTAATTTAATTTAAGACTTGCCTTGCTGCCTGCAGTAAATAATTCCTAACAAATTCTGTCATCTTAATTTTTCTGTTTCCCTCATCTTGTTATAAATGTACATATAGCACCCTGAGTGATTATAAAACAGCACATTGTATCTTGTTATGCTGTATGTTCTGTAAACTGTACTGTGTTACCAAGCTCTTCTAAATATTTCATAGATGCAGCAATACCATCAAGCATTTGCACAGCAGCCACATCATCAGAATCATCCCCACCAACAACAGACTCTGTTTCTTACCTCACCTCTGGAGTTCCAGACACCTATAGGGAATTTCAGCCCAGCTGTGACAACTCATGTTGGGACTGTGGCAGTGGAGCCTCTGTTCAGCAAAATGAGGTAAATCAAACCACACATAAGTTCATTATGCTGAAAAACAGTTTTATAAGTTGTATAACACTTTGACACTTTTAGTCAGGTGAGTGGTACACTACACTTCTTCATTGTTCTTTACATTTACAATTACTGTGACACTTTGGCAGGGAACTTTAACTATCATTTATTTGCATTCACAACCGCTGTGTTAGTTATGGGGCACTACCAATATCATTTAAAAAACAGTTGTTACTGTAGTACAATTTTGGTAGTCATCAGCTGCTGACTGCATGATTGCTTTATGGTCTGATCTTGTCAGATTTTGGAGGCTAAGCAAAACCTGGCTTGGAGACATCTACAGATCTAGCCATTCGGAATGTGTGCCAGATACTGCAGCACTTTGCAGTGTAATTTTTTTTAACAATTCAAACTCAAACCTACAGCAACCTATATGTTATACAGCAATATAGATGTGGGTTATGTCACCCCCCATAAAACGATGTTCTTATTGCGTAAATCCTGCTAAACTAGAAGTGTTGCAGAAGGTGATATATTGTACATTGTTTGCTGGAGCACGGTTTAGTTCAAACAAGCAAGTCCATAGAGTTCCCTCTGTTTATTGGTACTAAACCTTGATGGGAAATTTTTAAAAAGTAGGTGAATTTAATAAACAGCTAATGTTGCTTAAAGTATTGCGTATGGTGGTTCTGTGGCTAAGGATCTGCGCCTGTGGCTGGAAGGTTGCTGGTTCAAATCCCGCAGCTGGCAGAAGAATCATACTCCGTTGGGGACAACCCCAACTGCTCCAGGGACACTGTACAATGCCTGACCCTGCGCTCTGACACCAAGCTTCTCTCTGTCTGTGTGTCTCATGGAGAGCAAGCAGGGATATTTGAAAAAGACAAATTCCTAATGCTAGAAATTGTATATGGCTTATAAAGTGATCTCTCTCTCTAGTCTGTTAGCAGAGTTTGTGTTGACACACTACATATTTTAATCACCTTTGTCTGTCTGGTGGATGGGGGTTGTCTTCTTCCTCAGTTGAACATCTGATACTTCCCCAGTAAACCAAGAGACTAAAACCCACTGTTGATAAAACTAAGATTTCTAAAAATGCAACTAGGTACTAGATATTGTTTAAATAAAAGCTGTGAAAATGTTCACAAATCACAATCTTTAAAATGCCTGTAGTTTAAAGGCTCTGTGTCATTTTCTGCAAAGTTATTGACAACTGAAACATCATATCTCATAAACAGGCATTTATGAGAAAGAAAAGGTTATGAAAACCGGAGAAAACCAATTACTCCTTAAAAAGATACAGGAAGTTTGAAATTATTATTAATTATTACTTATTATTAGTAAGTTAATACTGTTAATAATAATCAGATACATCATTATAGTTTCAGTGGTCTTTCAATACCACTTTTTTATTCTCAATTATAATTATGATGTATACAATTTTGTTTTAAGGCTTGTGTTGAATTGCCGCACTGCGATGAATAAAGTATTTTGAATTTAATTAAACTGGTTGAACTGGTTTTTACTCCCACTATTGACAGTATTCATGTTTGTTTATTCACATTTCTATTATATTATTAATATAATTTAACATTGAATACATTGTAATATGTAAAAAACAATAAATAGTTAATATAGTGTAATATTTACTATTTTATTTTTTAAAAACTTGCGCCCTAAGCAGGAATTGAACCCAGATCTCCCAGATGGGGGCCTAACCACCAAACCCACTGCACCAACAGGCCACCTGGAAATAGCTGAAAAAGACAGTTTAAATTTTTAGAAAGTAATTATAAGTGAATGAGTCAAAGAAAAAATAAAACATGTTTACAAAGAAAGTGGACAATGGTTATACTGCCAGCTCTATAAATATATTTTATTTAGATCCTTAAATTTATATTGTTATTAATTTCTTTAGTTACGTGATTACATATTATGTTCCCTATGAAGCGGATTCCAGAAGGTACATTTTTTTACTACAATAATGACAGCAAGTATTCATAGAAAAGGTTAAAACATTATAGCTTTTTACAAAGTATATAAACTTAATATAGTCAGAACGAGCACGCCAAATTAACCAGTTAAATACTTATGCATAAAATGGTCAGATGGTGCTCAACTACCAAAAGTTCCCTTTGGTTGCAAAATTCCATATTAATATTCTATATTAAGTGGATTTAAACATGCACAGTAGAGAGATAAAATGAAGCAATCGTTTCACTAACAACTAATGCACCACAAATGCCACCTTTTGATCTTCTTTGGCCAGTGAATCACATGCTGCGATAAAGTGCAGCCCCTGTATTATGTTACGGGCCTTTAACACGCGTTCTGAATGGCTACGTATGTACTGACAGGACAGACATCTTTCTTTAGACTTAAAAAAAAAAAAAACAAGTTGCTGGAGTAAGTGTAAACCAGTATGTGTCACTGTTTTCTCAGGACCAGAATTTCCAAATCAGCTTTCCTTAATTCAGTTAGTGAAGTATTTTTTCTCTGCCCGATCTGCTGCTAGCCCAAAATTGCCATGTATCAACCAAGTGGGTGCTGTATTTCAGTGGTTGAGGAAGTAAGTCCCCTTATACTATGCGTATAAAGTTCTTTGAGATTAAAAGTACTATATAAATGCAATAATTATTCAAGTTTATGCTAAATTGATTTAAAATTTTAAACCATTTTACCTTTTGTTTCTCTAGAACTGCTTTATTGGATACTGAAGTAGTTGGTACCCCAGAACAGAACGTCAGCAACCCACCAGATATGTCTAGCTGGAACCCCTTTGGAGAGGACAATTTCTCTAAACTAACGGAAGAAGAACTGCTGGACAGGGAATTTGACCTCCTGAGAGCAAGCAAGTGTTGATGGCAATATATTATAAGTCTTGTCATTTAGTAATGTTGATTTCTAAAAAAATATTTATTTTGTCATGTCATGGTTTATTATTTTGATATTTAACCATGCTTTCTAACATGTGAAATTACATTATCATATTTATACTAAAATTAAAGTAAGCTTTATATCTGTTCCTTGACAGAGAAACCTGAAGAAAGGACAGCAAGTATTGACTCAAGTTTAGCAATGCAGCAGACTTCACAAAAAACACTCTCAGAGGATCTCTTTGGCTCAGTACCATTTGTTTCTAATCCAGGCAAGTTTTAAGGAAGCAATCTGAAGAAAAACATGGTTCCTTGAAATTAAAGTCATATTTAACTGATTTTAATTCCTAATAGCTGCAACTGTACTTGAAAAACAAAAGTAATAAATAATATCAACCCTTCACAGAGCAATGAGATGAACAGGATGCACATCTCCAAAGGAGGATGTATTCTCCAATGAAATGTATTCTACTCTGACAATGTTTCGACACACAAAGGACTTCATCATGACATGTACCTTTGAATAAACAAATCTTATATATTCTGACATTTATTAGCTGAAAGCATGTTATATAAAAGGAAGCCTTATTTCCACAGATAATGAAGGTTGTCATAAATATACTTCAGTTATCCTTTTCACAACATACACAGAATAAATCTAAAAGAAAATCCAAATGAAAAACTACAAAATACAAAACTTGTTACATTAATAATCATTATCAAAATATTTGAAAAGTGTATAAAATGTATTATTTAAATATTGATATCTATATAAAAGATCAATCTTATCCTTATAAGGGCATTAACATTTTTACTTAACCTCTTTAAAAGTGGTTATACAGATGCAGCCATTCAAAACAAGCAGGCGATACCGCATTATTTTGCGGTGCGCTTTACGCAGTCTACCGCGAGTTACCGTAAATGCTCCTATAATTATAATAATAATTGCTTACACTTATATAGCGCTTTTCTGGACACTCCACTCAAAGCGCTTTACAGGTAGTGGGGACTCCCCTCCACCACCACCAATGTGCAGCATCCACCTGGATGATGCGACGGCAGCCATAGTGCGCCAGAACGCTCACCACACATCAGCGATCAGTGGGGAGGAGAGCAGAGTAATGAAGCCAATTTATAGATGGGGATTGTTAGGAGGCCATGATTGATAAAGGCCGATAGGAAATTTGGCCAGGACACCGGGGTACACCCTACTCTTTTCGAGAAACACCCTGGGATTTTTAATGACCACAGAGAGTCAGGACCTCGGTTTTACATCTCATCCAAAGGACGGCGCCAGTTTACAGTATAGTGTCCCCGTCACTATACTGGGGCATTAGGACCCACATAGACTGCAGGGTGAGTGCCCCCTGCTGGCCCCACTAACACCTCTTCCAGCAGCAACCTTAGTTTTTCCCAGGAGGTCTCCATCCAGGTACTGACCAGGCTCACACCTGCTTAGCTTCAGTGGGCTGCCAGTTGTGAGCTGCAGAGTGACATGGCTGCTGGCTTTTAAGCATCAAAGTCTTTAATTCGGTAGCATACTTTGGTTATTTTGGAAAAGTTTTTACGTGCTCCTTCTGGCTATATTAAGTTTATATACTTCATAAAAAGTTATAATGTTTTAACCTTTTCTATGAATACTTGCGATCGTTATCACTGTAAAAGAAACGCATACTTTTTAAAATTTGATTAATAGGGAATATAATATGGAATCACATATCTAAATAAATAAATAACAATATAATTATGTTTATATAGCTCAGATTATCACAGTAGTACACTATATTTGTAAACATCTGCATCAATTTGACTCATTCATCCAAGATTACTTAGAAACTTTTTGCCCTTTTCAGCTACAGCTTAAGTTGTCTAGGAGCGCATCGGTGTAATGGGTTAGGCACGTGCCTTGCATGCTGGAGGTTGGGGGTTTGAACCCAGCTGTTGCCATGAGTGTTCTTTAAACAAATAAACATTTTTTTGAAAAACTAAAATAGTAAATATTATTGACACTATATTAAATTTGTTGGTATTTCTAAATATCACAACACATTCAAAGTTAAGTGATTTATTAATAACAACTAATAATTTCAAACTGCTTGCATTTTAAAATTGTTTTTTATTCAGGGTGATTTGTCACAGTTTTCACAAACTTAATTTTATAAAAAGTCTAATTTTGAGACGGGGTGTTCCAGACTTATGTTTAATTTCTGAAACTCCCTTTTTATTCCACGTTTTAACCTTCTCTATGAATACTTGCGCTCGTTATCTCAGTAAAAAAACTTAGATTTTAGGATCCATGAAATGGGGAATATAATATGGAATCACTTATCTAAAGAAATGAATAACGATTTTAATTTAAGGATCTAAATATATGTATTTATATAGCTGGTAGAATTACTGTAATCCATGTTCTTTGTAAACACTTTATTTTTAATTTGACTCATTCATGCATGATTACTTTAGAAACATTTTTAAGCTGTTCATCACAGCAGTGTTTCCAAGCAGCCCATTTGTCAATTGGGGTTCTGTCTAGGTGATCCTTCTGTGGGTTTCTCACCCACTGCGATTCAGACACAGAATGGATAAAAATGGGTACAAGTCAGGCAGAGGGAAGGGGGTCAGTGAAACTGTTACCTGTCCTGGATAAAGCAGTTAGAAAATAGGTGGATTTACACTTGTGAAAAACGTTCCAATTTTAATGCGATATGGAAGATATTATTAATAATAAATGACCTTGGACAGTCTGTAAACCGAAGATAGGACAAAGGCTAGGACTGTCAACACCCTGCGTTTTAATGTTATGTAGAATAGACAGTTCTGAGGGATGGGAAGGAATTTTCAGTAGCATGCACTGTTGTCATTGTTGCTGTTTAACATTAGATGTCATATTAAATGTCCTATTTTTTCTTAACAATGTTTTTCCATACTGTAGTTTTAAAACTTGAACAAAGACGTGCCACATGCAAACATTGCGATGTTGTATAGTTTTAAAGCCACTACAGTATAGCTTGTATATGTGGGATATACATTTATTTATACTGCATCAAAGCTTAACTCATTCAGAGAGCCTGACATTACAAGCTGAGTTAAAAGGAACATGTTAAAATATTTCCAAAATAATTCCAAGTGAACGAGTTGATGGATTCGATAATAATAGAGAAATCATAACAATAATCATGCAGTCCAACTGAAAGAAGGACACTTAAATCAATGGAATTAATCAAATCCCAGGTGTGAGTTCATAAAGCCAGGTTTACATACTACCCCTACTTCTGCGAAACACACAGGTGGGGACAGGTTTAGGCTGCAATTGAATTGGGGATCTGTATTCTTCAACTTGAAACATTGTTTTCTCTGAAAGCATTTTCCTCCCTCTTAAGCTGATCTTTTGCTGCCTGTGCATGCTTAAACAGCTCCCTATGTGAATTGTTGCTCTTGACTGAGAAAGCTTTAGAGAACTTTACATTTTTATTTTCAACAAACTGTAAATATGATGTTTACATTGGTGTTTTTATTAATTTTTTACTTAAGCATATGTAGTGTCAGCTGTCAAGGAGAGCTCCCCCCTTCCCCCCACAGACAGACTGGTAAAGCAATTTTGAAGTGTTAACTATCCAGCCATTGCAAGCCACTGCAGCAGCCACAAATAAATAAAAAAATAAACTTTTTTTCTCCTGATGGTAATTGTAACAAATTATCATGTTTCGCACCCTTGCAAAACAATCATGACATTCTCATCCAGTCAAAGCTTTGATATTTTTTTATCTTGAAACCATGATCTTGACATGCAGGTGTGAAGTAGAGTTAACAGCTTCAGATTTAAAAGGTTATTAATAATATCTTCCGTGTCGCATTAACATTGGAATGTTCTTACAAGTGTAAAAAGAGGTGATACACAACGTGTCTCCTCTATAACTCTTCAGTTTACAGAGAAATTCCACAAGAGCTATACATCATTGTCCAATAGTACTCTTCTTGTGTTTAATTTCTAATTTCCAGTTTAGCAGAATTTGCACAATGTGCCCACTGTTTTATTACCCACGTCTATATCACTGTACAACACAGGTTTGAGTCGAAGTGTCTGTTAATAAAACAGAGCGCCTTCCGATACATATAACTACTGCATAATTTCTTTATCCTTTTCAGCTAAATGAGGGGAATTAAATCAGTCAGAATCTCGGAGTGCCAATTGTAAAAATAACCCTTCTTCCCTCCTTTGTTTAACTTTAAGAATTTTGCAAAGAAATCCTTAATCACCATACCATCACTTAATTTATCCAGATACACAAATTCATGCCAGAACCAACAACAAGCTATAATAGTGGACTGTTTTTATGTATTCACCATATAAGAAACAAAAAAAACAAATTGCACTTAGAACCATTGGGTGCAGTGCTTTGTCCCTTATGACTACAAGGACAAAAGTTTTTTAAAAAGAAAAGAATGTCAAAATGTGTCCGAAATGTCCACCTGTGATAATTTAGCTGCTTAGTTACACGATTCCATATTCATATAACTATCAAGTAATGTTAAATCACTACAACATTTATCTTTTTACAATGATAGCAATTGGTGTTCTTACTACATGTTCTTAGAAAAGGATAAAAAGTTATAACTTTTTATGAAGTATAGACTATAAGCTTAATGATGTTGGAACAAGCACGTTAAAACCAGAACCCACTAAGTTACCAAGTTAAGGACTTTGATGCATAAAATATTTATGAATACTTAAATTATTTATGATAAAGGAGGAAGGGTGTGTACTTTTGTCCAACTGAGCAATCTTGCTTTTATAAAATATACCGACTTTTTAATGTTTAATCTTTAACATGCTGTAATACAGTTTAAAATTATTAAAAGTCTAAACAGTATACAACTTAAGTTCTTATCTATATTAATATAACTATCAAGTGGTATTAAAAACAACTTTTTTGTATAGATGACACGATTGAAACGATTACAATCTAATCTTTCTACGTGTGATGCTATTAGAAAGTACAATACGCTCCTGCTTTGTTTAACGATGGTATGAAAAATAAATCTAAATCGTGAGAAAGCTATGCTTAAAGTTAATTAAGGGACATAGAAGACAATGATAATGATTTACGTTGTTTAATTTGAAAAACTAAGTGATAAATGCAGACACGATTAGTGCCATTCGCACTGCGAATGCTCAGGCTGTGCTGCTTTCCCGCCTCTGACAGAGCACAGTATTTTCACAGCCTCTGATTGGGGGGAAAAAAGACCAGCTGATCTGTCCTTCATAACAGGA